CCCCAGACCTTAATCCCATTGAGAACTTGTGGTCAATCCTCAAGAGGCGGGTGAACAAAAAAAAAAAAAAAAAACACTCACAAATTCTGAAAAACTCTCATCATTGATTATGCAAGAATGGGCTGCCATCAGTCAGGATGTGGCCCAGAAGTTGATTGACAGCATGCCAGGGCAAATTGCAGAGGTCTTGAAAAAGAAGGGTCAACACTGCAAATATTGACTCCTTGCATAAACTTCATGTAACTGTCAATAAAAGCCTTTGACACTTATCAAATTCTTGTAATTATACTTCAGTATACCATAGTAACATCTGACAAAAAGATCTAAAAACACAGAAGCAGCAGACTTTGTGAAAATTAATATTTGTGTCATTCTCAAAACCTTTGGCCAGGGCTGTATATCCTACTTTTGGCTATATTAATTTTTTTGTCAGTAGTAATAACTAATAAATTAGTATGAGCCCCTTATAATAGTGATTATCAAGCTACCTGGCTATGACAAGGGAGTCTTCGTGCATAATGACTTTAGTTTTAAATAAAAATAATTATTAAATAAACATTTTGATCTCAGAGTCTGATGAATTGTACCAGATTCAACAAATAGTATATACAGTATTACATCATTATACAGAATTTATACGGTGCCAACAGTTTGGTCAAGGCTTTACAATGTAAAAGGGAGACAATACAGCAATAATACCAGTTCAATACAAAAGGGTTAGGAGGGCCCTGCTCCTTGGAGCTTACAATATAAGAGGGAGGGGCTGGTGGTACAAAAGGTAATAACTGTGGGGAATAAACTGATAGGAGAAATAGAAGATTCAGTTATTAGCTGAAAGCAGGATAAGCTTCCCTGAAGAGATAGGTTTTAAAAGATTGCCTAAAAGTGGGCAGAGTAGGCAATAGACGGATAGATTGGGGTAGAGGGTTCCAGAGGATGGGGGAGGCTCTGGAGAAGTCCTGGAGAGGAGCATGGGAGGAGGAGACAAGGGAGCTAGAGAGCAGGAGGTTGTGAGAGGAGCCAAGAGGACAATTTGGGAGATATTTGGAGACAAGGTTGGTGATGTAATTTGGGGCAGAGTTATAAATGGCTTTAAATGTTGTTAATGTTTTGAATTTTATTCGTTGGGCAATGGGAAGCCAGTGGATGGACTGGCAGAGTGGGATGACAGATATGGAACGGTTGGTAAGGTGGATGAATCTGGCAGCAGCATTCATGATAGACTGAAGAGGGGATAGCCTGCGATTAAGTAGGTCAATGAGGAGGGAGTTACAATAGTCAAGGCGAGAGATAACAAGGGAGCAAATAAGTTGCTTAGTGGTTAAAAACAGGCATATCTTGGAGATGTTATGGAGGTGAAGTCTACAAGATTTGGACAGTGATTGGATTTAGGGCTGAAAGGACAGATGGTAGTCCAGGATTACACTAAGTACCCTTGCATGAGGGGAGGACTGATGGTTATATTATCAATCTTGAGGGAGAAGTCAGGGGAGGGAGAACGGGCTGAAGGGTATAGTATGAGCTCCATTTTAAAAGGATGTAGTATGAGGAAGTGGAGTGACATCCATGCTGATATGTCACTTAGTAGGTTAGTAATGCGTGAGGAGACTGAAGGGGTGGGTGAGGAGAGGAAAAGAAAGACAGACTTGTGTGTCATCAGCACAGCATAGAGATGGTACTTGAAGCCATGGTAGTTTATTAAGTGACTAAGGAAGGTGCAGATGGAGAAGAGCAGGGATCCAAGGACAGAACCTTGACGGACCCCTACAGAAAGAGGAAGTGGAGTGCAGGAAACAAGAGTTATAGTTAACACTAAATAAGCGCTGCGATAGGTAGGAGGAGAAACAGGAGACAGCAGAGTCTCGGAGGCCAAGACAATGGAGTTTTTTTTTTTGAGGAGGGGATGGTCAACAGTATAAAGCAGCAGAGAGGTCAAGTAGTAAGAGCATGGAGTAGTGGCCAATGGTTTTAGCAGTTAGTAAATCATTAGTGAGTTTTAATAGGGCAGTTTCAGTGGAGTGTAGTGAGTGAAAGCCAGACTGTAAAGGGTCAAGAAGGTTGTTGTCAGTGAGGTAGGAGCACAGACGATTGTAGACTAAGCATTCTAGGAGTTTAGAGGTAAACAGGAGCAGAGAGATGGGTCTTAAGTTGTTCAGGTTGGTGGGGTCCAGTGAGGGCTGTTTAAGTATAGGAGTGATATGTGCATGCTTTAGAGGGGAGGGGAAGGTGCCAGAGAGGGAGAGATTGAAGATATGAGGGAGCAAAAAGGATAGAAGACAGTGACCGTAGTAGTTGTGCCAGGATGCAGGTGGTAGGTGGTGAGATGGGATTCTGAGAAAACTTTAGTGACCTCTTCAGTAGTAGCGAGGACAAGAGGAAAATGTTGAGGAAGGTTTAGCATAAAGGTATGCTAAGTGGGATAGATGTCTGTGTGGTGAAGATGCCACTACGAATTGCATCAATCTTGTTTTTGAAATGATTGACAATCTCATAAGCAGTGAGTTACTCGGTGGAGGTGGAGAAAGTAGAGAAGACACGACGAGGACTGGATGACAAGGTATTAATAAGAGTGACAAAGTAGGCTTGTTTGGTAGCATGGAGAGAGGAACTGGATACTAACATTTATAGGTAAAGTTGATCCAGGGAATATCCGATTGCCTCTAGGGGGATCAGAAAGAAATTTTTTTCCTTGCAGGAGCAAATGGGATCATGCTTTGCTGGGTTTTTTTTTTTTTTTGCCTTCCTCTGGATCAACTGTGGGTATAGGAATATAACTTTTTTTTTTTTTTTTTTTTTAATGGTTGAACTGGATGGACTTTTGTTTATTTTTCAGCCAGACTAACTATGTATTTTAAGAAAGCAGATTTATATAGGGTGAATGCTTGTTTGGATTTGGTTGTACGCCACAATCACTCCAGTGCACTATTGTCTCAAGATTTCTGGTGTCATCAGTCTGCCAAAGTTGTAATGGTTGGGGTGTGATACTTCATGTAGTTAGAGGAACAAGTCAGTCTAATGTGGATGAAAGTGAACTGTTGTAAACAGGTCAGTGTAGGACAGGGGAGAGATTCTGTCACAGAGTTGGTCAGTTGCAGAGTAGAAAAGAGAAGGGTTAAAGTTGTGAAGGTGTCTGCAGGTAATTGTTTGCTGCTTGGAGGGTTAGGTGTTTGAAGATGAGGACACAGTGAAGGTGATGAGATTGTGATCAGAGAAAGAGAGGAAAGGGGGTGTTTGTGACATTGTAGGGAGTTGCAAAGATGGGAGAAAACAAGGTCTAATGTATTCCCATCAGAGTGAGTGGAGGACTGTGTTAAGACAAAAGATAAGGTTAGGTTGAAGAGTGGGGATGTAGCTGGGTGGTTCACATTAATGGGGATGTTAAAATCACCAAGAATGATAGTGGGTATTTCAGAGGCGAGAAAGTAGGGTAGTCAGGCAGAGAAGTCATCAAAAAAGTGCGACACCGGTCCAGGAGGACGATAGATCACTGCAATCCTCAGAGAAATCCTCAGAGAACACAGCCAAATGCAGTGAGTCTCGAAAGAAGAGGCTAGAGAGGGAGGGTTAGGGAGGACTTGAATGGTGCTCTGTGGGGATAGAAGCAAACCAACTCCACCTCCTTTCTTACCACTGGGTTTGGGTGAGTCCAGTGGAGTCCTCGATGGGAAAGTGCTGCAGGGCAGAATCTAATGCTTGAAACCAGGTTTCTGTAATTGCTAGTAGGTTAAGGCAGTGGGAGACAAATGTCATGGACAGAGGTGAGCTTATTACAGACAGAACAGGCATTCCAAGGGCATATGAAAAAGGGAGGGTGTTTTTTTTTTGTTTTTTTTTTAGGAGCATGGGGATTGAGATTGAGTGGATTTCGGCTATTCCTGGAAGGAGGCTGCCTGGTGTGGGGGTGAGATACTGGAGGACCAGGGTTCAGGGAGATATTCCCAGAGGTTAGAAGGAGGGTGAGGAAAGAAAGATGGGAGCGGGATGTATATCAGTGCACGTCTTCCTGTCCTGGTGTTTGGGTCAGCTGGTGAGTTAAGTATTAGCAGGAGGTGATGAGAGCAGTAGTAGGGAGATGGTAGAAGTGAGGGTGATGTGTATAAGCTTTGGGGTGGAGCAGAGGAGTAAAGAAATGAGATTTTGAGAACAGAGGATACTAATATGAAAAGGAGGAGTAGAGGGGGCATATTAAAAAGGTAGATGGAGTGGGAATCAGACTTGTAGATGTTTCCCAGGGTGTTTTGCTTGCAGTCCATCCAGAGTGCAGTAAAGTTCTTTGTTGTATCTTCTTGCTGCTTTACTTATCCTGCTGTGTTCAACTGCTGTTTTGCACTCCAGCAGAAAATGCACTCACGCATGGCAATGCCCTGTGATTGAGCCCCCTTGTCTGTGACTTCCCCCATAAGTTGGTCTATAATTATGGGGAGATGATCAAATGTGGAATCCTTCTCCACCCCAATTAGGAACGGATAAGGAATACATGAATTGGGGGGAGAGATTGGTCAAAGCCAGATCAACCACAGACACAGGCCAAAGTCATAAAAGATATAAAGACAAAAAGATATAGAATAAATTATCCTGAGTTTTGCAGAAAGTCAGTGCATAGTAGTGAGGCAGTTTAAGGTGGAGAGGAGACAGATAGTACATCTCTTATCTCTGTTATTTTCAGATTGGATTAGATATTTTGATCCCTAGCCATATAGCTGGTTATTTTTATCACCACTGCATATAGAAATTCAAGAATAAATTGTCTTTTTTTTTCCCCTCTCTCTTTTTTAAGGTTTTTATCCAATTAGTCAATTAACTGAAAAAATAAAAATCGGCCAACTAATCGATTATGGATATAATCATTATTTGCAGTCCTAAAATTTTCCTTTCCAAAACGTTCTTACAAAGCCAAATATAACAAAAATTAGACCAAAAAATCTGCAGTTAATTCAAATCACAAAAAAGAGAAAATAAATGTATAAATAAAGTTTATTTTTTTCTTATATACAGAGGAATCACTTCACCGAGTCTTTTATATACTTCCATCCATCTGCCGTGTACTCACACGCTTTGTTTGGTGCAGATGAGAGAGCAGACACAGACTTCTGCACCCCTAAAAACAAGAGGACAGGTAGAGAATTAGCAGCAGTTTTAGGACTCTAGGCATAAAGTTTCAGCAAATATTTGAACCCCGAATGTGCACAGAAATCAAATCTGCATTTATGCTGCTTGTTAGGCTCAATACAAACAGATTAGGACTTCACTCAGTACCCATGCAGATGAGCTTTGAACCCGGAGTCACACATGCTATCTGGTAAGGCTGCTTTACTAAATGAGCTAAGAAACTTCACTCAATAAATTGAATACCCTGTCATGCACATATTACAAAAACAGAAATGTACTTTTCACATGATTTGATAAATTAATGAATCTTTACTCAAAGTAAGCAGAGCTACAGTTTGAGTGAAGATTCTCAACCCCTTTAGTATATCAACCCAAGTGTCTACCTGCTATTCCCTGAAGCAGGCATGTCAAACTCAAAAACAGTAGGCAAAAATGAGTGAAATACTTCAAGGGGCCACATTTAAACAGAGGGTAAAACCTACCTAATTCATAGAAAAAAAAACTCTTGCAACTGTACAATAGTAAATTGCATAGTAATTGATAGTACGTTCATTGGAAACCACAACATATCATTCCAGAAGAAGGGGAGATGAAACATTTTTTGACTGCAGCAATTTCTGAAAAGCAATCCGTGGCTGAAGCAGCTTTCAGACATTCAGGAGGCAATTCTTTTTTTTTTTTCTTTGATGAACAGTGATTTTGAGTGGAACTAAGCCAAGTGTTAGGGTCACAGTTGCAGCACAGTCCCACTGACTTGAATGGATGGGTTTGACAGGCAGCGCTGTCAGTTCACCAAAGTGTTTTAAATTTTCCGGCCTCTGGCTATATGTTGGATTTTAGGTGGGAAGTCAGTAAAACCACCTGTTTTTACAGCCCTCTGGCTAATCATGTGAAAAAAGAGGCCTTATTAAGCTGCAAATATTTTTACGTGTAGCATTTTTCAGCTGCTTAAACCACATGCAACTCAAAAACGCAAGCCTGTCATGGCTGCCCTAAAATAAATAGGTGTGGAAGTCAGGTGGCTGTAATTATTGATTACTTTGTATGAATGCCTTGCTGTTATGCTGACCTTTTAGTTTCAATACTAGCAGTCTCTGACCCAGAACACATGTGTAGCTCAGAAAAGTCTGGGAAAAGTCAAGGAGATCATACTTGTTTGAGTTAGTGTCTTAAACTATAGAAGCAAGAGTGCTTTTATGACAGGCAGGAATTTGGAATTTCCTCAATGGTAGCCTCCATGTCTTTTAATTGAAAGTTTCACTTAAAGATATTCAAACCTTTCTCGCCCCTTAATGTAAAACAGAACATAGATTTTTTTACCCTCTAAAGCAGGGGTGTCAAACTGGTGGCCCACCAGCTGTTGTGAAACTACAAGTCCCATCATGCCTCTGCCTTTGGGAGTCATGCTTGCAACTGCCAGTCTTGCATGCCTCATGGGACTTGTAGTTTGGCAACAGCTGGAGGGCCACCAGTTTTACACCAGTGCTCTAAAGAGTTAAATATAACCTGTTTATATGTGCATTAACACCTTCACAGAACGAAAACCCAATATGTATGCATGCCAGGTGAATAAAAACACTCATCTGAGAGTCTGACTTTTTTAAATTTTTTTCAAATAATCAGACACTTCAAAATTTAAACAGATTATATTATATATTGTTTTCACAAAATAGACAAGACAACTACTTTATGCATTGTAAATTTACCCCAATTCCATGACTCGCCAAGAGAAAAGTCAAGCTTTGGTGTGGATGGAAGCTGTAAAAGGAAATACAAATCATATTTACTGGTTTTCTCCTCATGTAAAGCAAATCGTGTTTACATTAATATATATAGTACCATAGACAAACGTTATTGCATTGCTAACAAATATTAAGTTTAAGTATCTAAACTGTGTCAATATACCATGCGCAGAAAATAAATTACCTGATGTTTGATATCTACCCTGAAACAGAATGAATTCTCAACATACAGTATATGGTAGCAGCAGGGTTAAGGCATTGTATCTTTTTCTAATGACAAATCTGCTGGACTTTTCAAAAGCTGGTCTACCCATTTTGATGCAAGTATCATAGAGGCAAAAAACCTTGTGGCAAACCAAGAGCTTAAAATGAAATGAATTTTAAAAAAAAATAAAAAATGAAATTGCTTCAAGTCTTTCAAAGATGCAAAGAATGCTCAAGCATGATGATTCGCAGTTGCAAAAGGCAACTTGATATAACAAAGAATATTTTTTCAAGCACCAATACTAGAACTGTATACCTATTAAAACGTCTCTATTGTTCTCACATTAAAGCAGCCTGAGTACTGTGGCACTATATTCTGAATCTGCAATTATTTCTCTGTGTCGAAGACCTCAAATCTCACCAGAATTAACACTGTGCTCACACAAGCACCTCCCTACTCTGGTAAGAGAAACCTTTTCTTTAAGGAGAACATTCCAAACAGACTTGGGTCAGATTCACACCTTTGTGCTGTGTTACAGTGCATGCATTAACACACTGCAATATGGTTCACATCTGTGGTGAACTAAAAAACACAGGTGTGCCAACAATTTTGAATGTGGTTTAGAATTTTTGTACTTAATGAAAATTCCACTTCTTTGTTGGAGGACACGGGAGTTCAAATAGGTTATACTGCCAGCTACAGGAGGAATGGAGGCTGGCAAATAGAAACATAGTGGGCCAGCCCAGTATAACACCTCCTAGTTCCAAGCATGCCTCAGTTTTGTAATAAAGCAACCAAGCTACCAAGAGCATGACCATAAACAGAGGGATGGGACATGTGTCCCTCAAAACACCAAAAATTTAATCCACAGTAAGTACAAAAAAAAAAAATCTTATTTTATTTCCTGCTTATTGAGGGACACAGGAATTCAAATACAGTCGAAATGTCCCAAAACCATTCCAAACAAGGGGTGGATAACGGCAACAATAAAATGCCCAATAAAAAAAAGCAACAGACTGGGGACTGCCTGAAATTCAAAGAGCCAACTGAAAGACCTTACACCTGAAGAAGGCATCAGATGACACGTAAACATCCATCTGGTAGAACCTGGAGAACATGTGAAGAGGTGAAAGCCTTGCAAATCTGGGAAACAGTTACCTGATGCCTGAAAAACCCAAAATTCAATAAAAGACCTAGAATAGTGTGCCTTGACAGGAAAAGATGGTAGCCAATCCTTAGGACCATATTGATTGTATGAACCACAAGAAGCTAGTTCTTTAAGTGTACCGTTTAGGATAAGAGAGTCAGACAGCACAAACATAATGGAAGCAATGGAGGGAGAGCTCCTTCTGATGAATTGGAGCCAGACAAACAGGAAGGAATATGAACTGGAGTCAGACAGACAAACAAAAAGGAATGATGTCCCCTCTGAGGTAAAAGGCTAAAACTACTATAGGAATGAAGGCCTCAACACCATGACCAACTCAGACACTTGTCTCAGAGTGATGACAACAAGAACAGCAACCTTGTGAGTGACAGTGGAAAGGGAAATATTCCTGATGGGTTCATAAGATGGTTTTTGAAGTGAACTAAATTTTAGAGAGAACCGAATTCAGATCCCACAGGGTAGCGCACAGGGGAAGGCATATGGGAAACAGACCCATTTGAAAAAGGCCAGGATTTGTCATATTTTTTGGGCCTGAAAAGTGTTTGGACTTGCACCAAGAGAAATACGCCTTTCATGTACTGTGGTAGAGCTTGCAAGAGGTAGTCTTCCTAGCTTTTTGGTGTCATAGAAAATCACTGGTTACATCTTGATCCTGCAGAGCAGATGGGGAGGGAGTTTCAGGACAGGAAAGACAAATATCAGGTTGTAATAAACTTGGCAAAAGGAAATGCCTTGAAAGAGGCTACCAACAGCCTCAGAACTATCATGCTGAATCTAAAAGTCAGGTGACCCCTGGAATGAAGAGTCCAAGCCTGAGAGCAGACAATTTGAACTTTCTCCTGGGGAAGAAAAACTCTGTGTTGACTGCCAGACCTTGTACTGACTGTTCCCCTAGAAGGGGGTCATCTAGGTAACTCACAATAGGGAGGCTATCAAAGAGGCCAATGCCTTGGTGAACACCCAAAGTGCTGAAAATTGGCTGAATGGTAGGGCCAAACACAAAGCGCAGCCGACAGCAAAGCAAAGGACTTGCCGATGTGCTGGAAAAACAGGGACATGCAGGTACACACCCTTATTGTCCACAAAGGCCAGAAAATCTCACTGATGGGAAGGCTATGCTGAATCCTGTGGTTTCCAAGAAGAATTTCTGGGCCAGAATGAAGACAGTTAAGGCCTTGGGATCCAGTATGGAGAGGATTTCCCTTTTGGGTTGGGCACTGAACAGGTTGTAGTAGAATAAGGGATCATTTGTCATAGAGATCAGATACCTTAAAATGGTCTTAATCCTATTAGCTAGTGTCTGATAGACTATATCATAGTCAAGACAGGTTGCAATGCAGGTCCTGTCAGAGGGAACATTGTTCTAGAAAAGGCCTTCAGCATGTTTATTGATGCAGTCCTTAAAGCGGAGCTCCACCCAAAAGGGAAGTTCCACTTTAAAGACTAGTCCACCGCTCCCCAGTAAGGATTGGCACCTTTGGGGGGAAATGGTACCTGAATTTGACAGGTACCCGCTCCCATTTCCGCTCCGATTGCCTAGGCAATCATAAGTGAAAGGTGTCCTCCCTTTCCATAATCATTTGGGACACGTGACAGGTCCCAGAAGACTACAGAACCATTCAGGAAGCGCAGCGCTACTCGCGCATGCGCAGTGGGTACCCGGCTGTGAAGCCACAAGCTGTCACAGCCAGGTGCCCACACTGAAGATGCCAGCGCCCAGGGAGAGAAGACGGCCAGTAAAATGGCTGCAGGAGACACCGCGGGACAGGTGAGTGAGTGTTTTTAAAAGTCAGCAGCTACAGTTTTTGTAGTTGCTGACTTATTTTTTGACAGCGTGAGTGGAACTCCGCTTTAAAAACAGGTGCCTCCTCACCTGGGATGGTGAATACTTTAAGACTGGATACTGCCAGATTCGCAGAGGGTTTTAAAGTGACAGACAGGAAAAACAACTTGTCAGGGTTGTTCCAGTCTCCATAAATAAAGAATGAGAACAGCAGATATATCAGAAATATCCTGGTTGTCTAAGGGAGCCTAGACTGGAGACAGCTCTGGAAGGAGCTACAAATCTATTCTCAAATTTTAAGGTGGCATGCATCACGTCAGCAATGACTTAAATGGGCTCCTTTTGTTGCAGAGGACTACAACTCCACTGCTGTAGGTTCATCCATTACAGAGTTAAAGACTATGCATCAGACAAGGTCTCGGCAGCAGAGGGCCAAGAGGCTGCAGGCAAACCAGACAAGGATTCTGCAAGACACTGTTGTGTAAGCTTACGTATAGCCTCTGCAGTCAGAGCAAGCAACTAAATGTGCTACTTGACCCATACATCACTACAGTGAATTCCCACAAACATGGAGCTGAGAAGACTCAAAGAAAGGCATGCACATTAGGGTACAGTGCATGCAGCACCACAGCCATTAGTATAGTGGGTGCTGTAGCCTCCAAGTACAGCAGTATTGTCCACCATGTGTCATGAACCAGGCAATGTTGCACTGCAAGGCAGAGCACAATGCTTCATTGGGTATGGAGCTAGGCCTCAGACACTCAAACTTGGCTGCTGAGTAGCAGGGGTAGAGTTAGGCAGCCAAAAGTGGCCAAGAGACAAAACTTAGAAAAGTTCCACATATCACTTGCAATCAGGAGCAGCGCAGAAAAGTGCTTTAATGCGTAATGATGGGAAAAAAGCATGGATTGCACAACACTTCACCCAGCAGATGTCCATTCAATCCCTCAGCATTGATCCCTTCCACAATAAAACCAAGTGAAAGCAGTAGTTTAATATAGCATCCAGCTGTCCTAGTAATGAGGTCTCTCACAACACTTGGCCTGCATGGCCAATTCACAAAGAGTCTTCAGAGTCATGCCTGAGGCCAAGCCAAGGCCCTAGACTTGGGGAGCACTCCACAGCTCATTTAACCAGTACACCAGGGGTGTCCAACTTGCTCCCCAAGACAGCTATGAAAAAATAAAGAAAAAATATCCCACTCCTCACAAATCACATCTTATTCATGTCATCGGTTTTCGGCAACACCTGTATTTGTGGGCAACTATTTTCAAAGATGAAGCACACAAAGGGCGGGGGAGTGTCCAAGATGGCGACCGGAGTGGCTGCTTCATCACGAGCTCCGGCGCCCCACGATACAATCCGCTGCCATCCGGGCGGTGGAGGGCTCAAAGCAGTCACCGAAGGTCCTGCGGCCCCTGCCTGACACCCGAGGAGGGGTGCTGGGAGCTTCTGTCACTTCCGCAGAGCTACGGGCGTTTACGGCCTACCGCGGACTGTGGAGCCGCAGTCTTTCCTGTTGTCGCGGCCGGGACGTGACGTCGCGATTCCGCACCCCAGCTGTCAGGACTGCTTCTGGGGTGGTCTGTGAGTGGCCCCCTGGCCTCCCCATTGGCCCCAGGGATTGCACTTGGCCTGTACACTCTGCAGGGCCTGGAGGCCCACTACGGTAGATGAGCGGCCCCCGTTGGGCCTGGTGGTCCAACCCACTTGCCCTCTTTCTTTAGGGGGTGTACTGGAGGCTCCTGTCCCCCCTCTGGGGGGCTTTCATTGCTGCCGTCCGCCTGACCTGGCTGCCACAGACCCACACGCCCCTCTTGAGGCTGAGATCCTGGGGCCAACGCTCGCTCTGCCTGGGAC